GCGCCCCGTGGCTGGGATGTTCTTACCCAACAGCCATGTGCCGGTGCTGCCAGGTTTCCACAGCCCACGAGGCAAAGTGGAGCCCTGTGCAACTCCCTTCCGACACCCTGACGGAAACTACAGGTCACGTACAAGATAACTGCATTTATATACTGTATACACATACAGTATTAATGTCTAGAATAATTTATATTCTAGCTTTTTCCTCCATCCAGTGTGGTGAGAAATAAGAGGCCACTGAAGCACTGTTCCAAATTTTTCATGACTGTAGATTAATGCACTGAAAATGCTTTTGAATGGTCTTATGATATATGAAAAGGGACGTTTTTTTTTCCCAAAATAAATTATGTTTTAATCTCCTTCCCAAGGGATGCAGTGAGATCGGTGCACAGTTGAAATGGGACAGTCTATAGGTGTGGAGTCTGGGACCTCAGGGGCACAGGGGCCTCGAATCAATGCAGAATCTGACTTCTGGGGAGTCTGACATTTTTATTACGAAGTATAAACTACTGCTTATGGTTGACTAGCTTGGCAAAGACCTCACATCCTACTGTTTAAATGAAGATCATTGCTGCAATTATTCCTGTTTATAAGAAAGGTTACTTCATTCCAAATACGTTTCCAAACACATAAATCCTCTAAACCACACCATGCGATTAAACATTCCACATCTGGGCCCTGCTATGGTTTTACCACACCAGTACCGTGCTTGTAATATGCTTTACCTTCGCTTGCATCAAGCATTGCTGTACCTCTGCTTTAGCTCTCATGTTGTTACCGTGATTTCCCTGCGCTTACCAGAACATACCGCAGTAATCGTGTACACTAACAGGCCACAATATTAGGAGGCAGAGGCAGTACTAAGCGGCAAGAGACTGACTCCCAGTGCCTTCCCTGGCCAGAGCCCAGTCTCCGTCCGGCAGAGAGCTAGGGGAACTGCAGTCTGATCCCAGATGCCAGAGCTCTCCTCCCGCCTCTGCCGAAGGTGATCCAGCCGGAAGAGGGGGATGAGATCAGA